GTGGGCTTGGCAAGCGAGGGCAGCTCCATAGGGGGGGGTGGGGGGGGGGGGGGGGTCAGCGTTCCGTTAGACCCCGATTTATGGGAACAAATCTTGTCGATAAATCTTGATCTTGGCCAAGATCTGTCAGTTTCACGATTTATGGGAACAAAATCTTCCGATATATCTTGGCCAAGATTTCTCGAGGCCCGAAATCTGCCCTTTCGAACAAATCTTGGCCAAGATTTCTCGAGGCCCGAAATCTGCCCTTTCGAACAAATCTTGACCCAAGATTTGTCAAGTCGAGCCTTCCGACAAATCTTGAGGCGGCGTGACAAATCTTGCCTCAGTGCGGCGCGATCACCGAAGGTCAGTCAACCTAATCGTCCATAACGCCATGAAATCTGCACGTCGCACACTCGCAAGGGTCTCCAACGCACCCTGGCGTCACTGTGTCGGCGCCACGGGCGCCGACAGCGAACGAAAACAACCAAGGCGCGCGAAAAAAATGCGTATTTGCCCTGACTCGTTCCACGTGCGTCATCACCAGTCTGTGGAGGGACCGTTCAAAGAGTACTTTATTTTGAAGTAGAAAAATAGAGCAGGAGGAGCGTTTTGCCAACACTGCTCTGTGGTGGGCGACGCTTCTATCTCTTCATCGAATCGCCCCACACCCAATCCGTTTGCACCCGAGCCAAATCCGTGGGTGCAGATGACAGCGCCGGAGGTTTGACCTCGGTACGCCTGCTACATCATGAGATACGTGCATGGGTGTCATCGGCCTCGGGTTGATGCACTTTCTTGTCAGTTGGACAGCAATGGAACAGTTTTGTTTCTCCGCTTGACATGAGCTCGTGGGCAACGGATTCAATTTTGCACCCCAGGGAGGCGCCCATCGCTAGTATCCACCCACAGTGTTGAGACAATACAGCTGGGGGAGGGATGCCCCTTCTACAACTGCGTCATGCTCACTTTTCGCCACACCTTGGCATTTTCTGTGGACCAAGTGGCCGTTGTGCCTTTTTCAACTTCAAGCAGAAGAGAGGAACAACACGCCGCATTTTCAACATTCAAGATATTTCCCCCATAAATCGCGATACTGCAAATCTTCGCGGAGATATATTGTGAAAAAATCTTGGGTCAAAATGCCAAGATATAATTGCAAGATTATGTTTCCATAAAGAAGGGTCTTAAATCACTACTCCGTATATTGTGTAGCAAGCACCCGCACCAAGAACCTTTCTGGCAAAAAAAAAAAAACTCAAGGGTCAACAAAATAGAAACTGCGAACTTAAAAACTTCCGGCGGAAATACGAAACTCTAGGCTCGATAAAATATATACTCAAGAGCTGGGCCACGAGAGCACGTGCCTAGTAAATAATCCTACACTAAAAACCTATAAAGTGGGAAGCAGGGAACGTGCCCCCAAAGGGAATCAGCTACAAACCCCTCACGTGATGGTTCTCGTGCAGGAGCATGTCGGGCATCATTGACAGCAACCCGGCGGACTGCACGGCATCGATGCGATCGCTCCCGCCCCTGGTGATGTGGTACAGTACCCACCTGCTCGTCCGGCATGGTCGGGCGGGGGGGAGGGGGGGGCAACAGCGGCGCCAACAAACACAACGGCATAAGCAGCGGTAGCGGCACAACTACCATCAACAACACGACAACAACTAGCAGCAACAGAACCAGCAACAACACCCGCGGCAGTAGCAGCAGCAGTAGCAACACGACAACAACAACAACAGCAGCAGCAGCAACAGCAGTAGCAGCTGAGACGGCAGCTGGGAAGGCTTGGCCCAGCAATTGCCCATACAACAAGTTGCTTTCATCATTAACACCAGGAGCTTTCGGCGTCACTTGGTGTTATTTTTCCACCGCCTAGCTACAGCAGTAGCACCGTCCTCACGCCGCTGTCGTGCAACTCCACAGGGAGACTCAAACCCTTCGGATGGTACCACTCCATCCATCACACACTACCCTAGGTCGCATAACACAAGATAACACCCCCCCTGGACCGATTGTCGAAGTTCGATTACTCTCTGCAGCAAAAAACAGCGGTGACGGTGCCGAAAATGTATCGTCGTTGGCACCTTCTGGTCGAAAGGCTTTCCGAAAACGCATCATTAGGTTTTGGCTTCCTCTTCGTGTGTGGAGTAGCCGAGCTTTGAAATTCGGTTTCTAGAGGTGTGGTGCGTCATGCAGCCTCCCCCCCCGTCACTCTTTCTGTGTATCTCCCCTCCCCCCCTCGCTTCTCTCTTTCTGTGTGTCTCTTGCATTGCATGTCTGCCCTCTAAGTCTGCCAACAAGCTGTCGGTCTCCACATCGTCTTTCTCTCTCTCCTCGCCCCCCCTTGCATTCGTGTGCGTCTCCCCCTCCCCAACAACCCTTACCCCGCATCAATCAGTGTGCCCGCGTCGCCCGTGTTAGCCGCCTCGATGATGGGACGAAGCGTGCCCACGATGGGGGCGACGGTCGAGAGAGGCGGTGGCGGCAGGCCGCGGCAGAGGTTATTCAACGCCCATGTGCCCGTCCTGGAAAGGGGGGGGCAACACAGACAGGAAGCCAAGACAAGGGGGTGTACGTCAAGGAGGCCAATAAAAAAAAAAACACACACACACATTAGAAAGGAAGTTTATTTTTTCCCCGGTACGAGGGGACAACACGGAAAGCCAAGACACGTGTTTTCGCCAAGGTATGAAAACAAGATATACTCAAACACTAGAAAAGTTATTGTCCCGCTACAAGACTTGAAGTGTTTTCAGTTCCCGCTACAAGACTAAAGTGTTTCCATTGGTCAGCCGGTCAGAGCGGTCGATGCTGATCGGGTAGTTGGCCTGTGACCAAGGAAGGCACCCACGTCAGTGGGATGTACCGGCAAGGATGTTTGGAAGGTACTACGGGGGTGTAGAGGAGGCGTGTCTTGCCTACATGTGACCTTCCGCAACACGGCTCGCCCTAGTACGATAAGAAAACACAGGTGGGTCGGGTCAACCTTGATCCTCACAGGCGGTACTAAACCGGCTGCCCCCCCGTGACGATTTTAAGCCACCTTGGGGCAAAGCGGGAAGGGCCATCGGTGATCGGGCCTGTGGGAACAATGCTCTCGAGGACGCGTGGTCAATGGTCTACCCGCTAAGGCATGCAAAACACGAGTACCCCCCCCCCCCCCCCCC